TCATAAGAATGCATATACATTGGAGATGAGCCAGTCAGGGTGCGATGTAACAATGATGAGAAATACAACTTTCCTCTAGTTCCTAAATGTTTCCTCCCTGCTCCCACTACCATGACTCGAATTCGATCTTGCAAGTCCGGCTAGACCAGAGGAGGTACACTGGTACAGATAGGAACTGAAAATACAGGGAATCCAGGATGGATGAGCCCTATAGGACCAGTGGTGTGAGTGGCAAAACAGGGAGGGTAAAGGGAGAATGGGTAGGAAAGAGGGAACCGATTACATGGAACTGTGTGTGACCTTCTCCCTGGGGGACAGACAACCGAAAAGTGGGTGAAGGGAGACGTCGGACAGGGCAAGATATGACAAAATACCCATTTATAAACTATCAAGGGCTGATGAGGGAGGGGGGAGCGGGGAGGGAGGGGAAAAAACCCCCTAATGTCGGGGGTTTAAGTGGAGAGAAAATGTTTTGAGAAACGATGTACAAATGCACTTTACACAATTGATGTGTGTATGGATTGGGATAACAGTTGTATGAGCCCCTAATAAAATGTTAAAAAAAAAAAAAAGAATGCATATACCGCATCGGCCGCAGAGAATGACATGAGATAGTTCACTTCTCACACTTTCTGGACCATATTAACTGAGAAGTAAAATAGCCTGAGCCACAGCAGACATGCTGGATTCTTGCTGAGTGCTAGGGGCTCGAAGTGACAGGGTCAAACTGTCCCACTGTGTTTTCTTTGCTGAAATCCTGATAGAAGGTCTCCTAGTCTTCCTCCACAGCTTAACTGTTTCCATGCCCAGGACTCCTTACTCTTTAGCATAAAACAGTTAAAGAAACAAATTGATCATTTGCACATATCTAGTTACCTTTAGAAGAAAATCTCTTAAAATGAGCACTGGGTGTATAATTGGCATTCAGTATAAAAAACGGATGGTGACCTACCTCTTTCTAAGGAGCCTTGGTGATGTAATGGTTACGCCCTGGGCTTCAATGGCAGTGAAGCCCGTTTGGTACCTTTTGTTAACAAGTGAAGACATTAGCTGCTACTTAGCTTACTTAATACCCCAACTTCATTATCTCAGTAATTCTGTGAGGAGGGTGATATTATCGCACTGTAAGCACGGTGAATTCCAGAGATGAACCCACCCCCAGGCGGGAGGTGGCAATGATAGGACTGGCACCTTAGTCTGCCAAAGTTCAAAGCACATTACCTTTTCAACAATGTACTCAATCTTTTCTTTAAGCAGAAAAGTCTTAATTGATGTTCTGGAAAGAAAAGGAGTCCATGAGCTTTTCCTTTGTGTCACTGACTAGTTTAGATGTAAATGTACACATAGGCACAGATATAAACACACATGTAAATACACTGAGCATACACAATATTTCCAGCTTAACAATACTCTCTAAAAATAACTTTCATCTCAGAAAAGGATGGTCAACCATCAAATGGCTTCATGTTTTATCAAAGGCACATGCCACAATAAATGCCTATATGTTGGTAGATGGCAAAGTTCCCCTAAAAGCTGGATACATGGTAGTCGGCACATAAAACATAGTGGCCTTAAAAAGACAAGCATATGAAGTTGTTTACTACCTGGTAATTCCCTAATGATTCATACCTCCTTGTTCTCTTTAAAAATGTTAACTGGCTCAATGTCTATCTGCCAGACTCATAAGGAACAATGAAGGACTCTGGCTAGTCAGGATACTTAATTTTATACTCAAATGAACCAACTGTGCATTTTTACTCTCTCCAAGAAAGGGGAAAACCAAACCCAAACCGTGAAGAAATGCAAAACAGATGCTGGAAAAGAATAATGCAGTTGTTAGGTTTTCCACCCCCATTCCATGGCATGTGTTCACCTCTATTAAAAGTTGCTTTGGGTCCACTTTACCGGATACTGTTAGGCGGCTAGATTCAGGGACAGGACATTGTCCAGGCCCCCATAAAGGAGGTTGGAAAGAAATCTAGGAATCATTAGATGCCTATGAAGACCCCAAACTGCATGCTCCTACTCAAGACCCAGAGCCAGGTGGGAGGTGCACCTGGGCGGTCCAAACTAGGCCCAGGCTCAGGACATCACCCAGATGGGCTTAACACAGCCAATGGGGTCTACCAATACCATCAACCACACCTCCCCAGCCAGAGGTTTGAAAGAGCCTGGCTGTGGGAAGGCTACTCGCTCTTTTATCTGGCTTCTAGCAGCAGCAGAAGGTGAGGGTCTCCCACCATTGCATGGGTGCCCCCATGTCACAGCCTCTAGGCCCACATGCTCTAAGCTTCTAGGGTTCTTGGGCATCTGGCCATCAGGATTCTGCCCAACCCGCCACCCCCACCCCAGTTCCAAATGTGTGGGTGCTCTTTTCCATGAGGTTGTTCATGCCTAGTACAATTCCTCAAAACCCTGTTTTAAATATGTCGTACTAGCATCCACCCTCTCTTGGGTGGTACCAGTATATGCCAAGGAGCTAGCACTTGTTGGACATGTATGAAAAGCACAAACACATTTCTGTCGTCAACTGGTGCTTATCTCTCCATTTCTGCCTGGTCATGTAACTTCAGGTCTCCTTTTAACTTCCCTGACAGCTCTCTGCTTCCACGCTGACAGCCACAAACTGTCCTAGACATGCCTTTCACATCAGTGGAAATAGTGCAAATAACAGCAGCAATAATAGTAGTCATAGTAAAAATTAGCATAGTAAAAATGATAGTCATAATATACTGTCCTGTGAACTAGAATTATGATCTTTATGTCCCCACTTCTATATTAGCAAAATGGATAAATTAGAAAATATTCCCAGACAAGAAGGACCCAGGCTTCAATCCAGTGCTGTCAATTGAGAGGGCAGTGTTTGGTCAGTGGTAGATTACTTCCTTCTCTGAGGAAGCCTTGGGTCCATTCCTTCCCAATGCACCTTATGGGTAGGCACTACTCTCCATGTAGGCTTAGGGTTTGCTATGATGCAGAATAGTGATCAGTGAAGCGCTTAAGAATAAGGTGGGCTGGCGGAAAAATCCTGGTCATCTCTTTTAGAAAAGGAGTCAATGAAAATGCTGTGGATTATTTCAGTCACATCTTGTTCTGCACCAGGTCACAATTAGTTGAGAGAAATTTGGCATCAGCGAACAAACAAACAAACAAAAAACTCAGACCATCAGAGGTTACTTTCACAGTGTTGAAGGAGCTTTGGTGGTGCTGTAGTTACAGTTGGATTGTGATCCACATGGTTGGCAGTTTGAAACCACTAGAAGCTCTGAGGGAGAGAGATTGGGCATGCTTCTCCTATTCAGAGGTCGTCTCAAACTCACAGAGGGTCACTCATGAGTCAGCCTTGCCTTGATGGCAGTGAGTTCACTGTGTTAATCAAAATTCCTCAAACCTCACCTCTATTTGATGAAACCATGGCTCTGCAAGTCCCTGCAAGAGCTTCGTTGTCTCGAGTTGATATGTGATTGGCCTAATATTTGAACCCTCACTGTCCATAAGATCCGTTGGCTGCCATACCCCTAAGCCCTTCTATGGTCCATGTGGAATCGTGTGCTAAGCTGTCTGCATGAGGGTTCTGTCCATTGGACCAACCTGGTCTATCCCCTTCACATTCTGTCTTTTATATCTGTCGGTGTGAAGATCCCCACATCATTCCTTCTGACTTATTACACTGACTTTAGAAACAGCTTATTGAAAACGTTTATGAAAGCCATTTTTTGGAGTGAGACAAGTTATTTGCCACACTGAATGTGATCTACAAGGTTCAGATCCAATGTGATTAATAAGAATTTAATACACAGAAAAGTAGGGAATGAATACAATTAAACAAACTTAATGGTCTAATGTCTCCTCTGAATAATGAGAAGGTTGTGTAACCTGGACCCCAGAGACTTGGACACTGAAGGAGGTGGGTCTGATCTGACACCTAGCTCATAGATTCACTGGGAAATTTCCTTAAAATTGTCTTCCTCCAACTCAGACTTTTATTACACAACAAATATTTCTAAGATAGTATTTGAAACCCACACTCAGAACACATCATTAGCCAACCTTTCCCCTTCAGAGATCATTGTGCAAGTTATAGATTGTACTGTTCTTTTGGAAGAAAGTTATTTAGCTTGAATGCTGTACTGTCATTTGGGTGAACAGCACAAGAACAAAGATATTTACAGTTCAAGTAAGCAAACAGGAGGAAGAGAGGGAAGGAGGGAGAGAGGAGAAGAATTTAGCTTTATTTCTAAAAATGACAGAAAACTTTATAAGATTATTTCTCGGATGGCAAAAAAATAAATAAAAATCAGAGCAAGGCAAGTATAAACAAAAGTTCCTTTTGAAATGAGAAAGAAAAAAAATATCTAAAGGAACCAACCCACATCTGCTGACCTATTAGAAATGCCCCTGAAATGATAAGGAGAGAATTTCAAAGCCAAATACCACACACAGAAGGAAGATAGGAGATTCTTAATATGTTGACACAGTGGCCTCACGTCTCCAAATCCTTACATATAATGCGGTGTTACCGGTTAAAGGAGAAAACACTTCCAGGCAGGCTTTCCCAATGCCAGGGGAAAAATAAACACACAAATACAAAAAACCCAACAAAATAGCAAATAAAAGAATGATCCAAATGTGCTGCAATTTTGTGTTTTTATTGCACTCCCAGAAAACTCTCTTTTTCTTGACTTCCTCCCCTTGAGTTCAACGCTTGGCCCTTTCATAGATACAGCTGTTGGCCCAAAGAGTAGACACTCTGGGGGTTTTATTCCCAGTAAGCCTTGGGTAGAGGAACTCTTAGGAGGTGCATGCGTGCGTGCTTACGCACATATTTACATGCATGCACATACATAACAAATATACACAGTTCCATGTGTTACTATAATTCCTTTGTCAAACGAAGATAGTCCCAACGAGAGTCACTCAGAACAAAACCATGATTGCATTGTATACTGATCAGCTTGTCATTGTAGCTAGCCAGCACTCATTTTTTAGGGGAGAAATACCTTATCGGGCTGGAAGTGATATCAGGGTCACGAGCCGTCACTTGGCCAATCACGGAATTTAGAGCAGCATTTTCATGTACTTCTAGTAGGTAAGTCGGTGAAGAGAAGACAGGTGGTTCGTCGGAGTCCTCCACCACAATCTTGACCGTGGCCGTATCTTTAAAAGGGCCCCTGCCGCTGAAACGTGGGTCAATGTGGACGTTGGCTGCCTCTACTTTCAGTGTGTAGGATTTTTTGGTCTCAAAGTCCAGAGGCTGTTAAGAGATGACAAAGATGAATGTTTCTCACTAATGACCGCAGCAGCAAGAACAAATGAGTCTAATGCTGATGGATGAAAGTTATGTGCATTTAAGCCCATCCGTGAGCCTTAATGGGACAGCTCTCCACTCCCTCAGATCCAACCTGTAAATTTTACAGGCATTTATTGATTTCTGTTTATTATACAAGCTCAGTGAATCCCATATCCTATTGTTTGGTTTTGTTTTGCTCATTTCACTTGGAATTCACAAAATATTCACAGGCATGAATTGTACCATCAAAATCTCACTTCTGAGTCATAATAAAATTTTACTGGCGGTGCCATGACCTGCATACCAATCTGCCAGTTAATCGGGTCTCTGCTGGGCGGAGATAAGGCAGCGTCCGACACAATCTCCATTGGGGAAGACTATTGCATCATTCCCGCACAGTGGTGAAATGTAACAGCTAGAAACCATCATTGTTTCATCCAAGGAGACATTATACAGCATACTTTAACACAGATCCTCACAACTAGTGCTTGGTTTTTCTTTCCTTTTTCATCTCACTTTTCAGGCGTTGCTGCCCTGTTAATCTTAGGACTAACAAGGGTTCCATGGTTTTTGATTTTTCAATAGTATTCTCAGGTCTATTATGAGTGCTATACTAAGTAGGGGGGCATATGAAAGAAAGATATAGATGGATGCATGACTATTTTGGGATATAGTTAGAAAAAAGAAAGTGAGAACCGGGCAAATACATAGCTGGATCTGGCTGCCCACCTCCACCAACTGCTTAAAAGCGATCGGGAATTACCTTAGTGCACCATGACTGACAGTGTTTCTGACAGATGACTGGAATACTTCATTGCTAAAAAGTCCCACCATCTTCATTTAATGACCTAGGCTACTTGAGATAGGCAGAATGTGCGCGTGCATGCACACATATACACACAACAACAACAAACAAAATCCAAACGTAGTTATTGATCCTAGTGATCCTAGAGAACAGAATAGAACTCCCTCATAGGGCTTCTCAGGCCACTGATATTTACAGAAGTGAACTGCCACATCTTTGATTCATGGAATGGCTAGTGGATTTGAACAGCTGAGCTTTTGGTTAGTAGCCACTTGCTTAATTTAAGGAGCCCTGATTGATGCGTCAACCAGGGCTCCTTAAAGAAGCATACAGCCCGCTTTGATAGCCAGCATCCATCTGCATCCGAGCCTACCCAGACTCATTCTCAGCCACTCATCATACTGCAGATTTCAAGGATGCTCATCTATCAGGGATCAAAAAGATAGTTCATTTTTGCATTACCATGTCTCAAAAGGAACTGAACTTGGCATCTGCAATGCAGATTTTTTACAAGTAGAGATGGGAACAAAAACTGGCAGTAGTGAACTCGTTCAGAACTCCCAAGCAAGCTTAACTATATATTCTTACTTTCAAAATTTGTGTTGATTTTTATATTTAAATTCATTTCTGATGGGACTGGTCTTTTTTTTTTTTTGCAATATTTTCAAGTAAATAAGGCAAGCACTCACTTCCCTGTCTATTCTGAAATTACCAAGCACTTGTACCCATGAATAGGTGTTCAAATCAGCATATTCTCAATTGGCCAATCACCCCTACTGTAACAATTTTGCAATTTGGAATTCTTTACAAATACTGTGAAGTGCAAGTGATGATGTTCTGCTTAACTCTAAACTCAACATAGAGATGGAACATCCTAATGTCCTTAAAATTTTACCTGATAAAAGTGTGAGCCAGGGAACTGTGCAAATGGGACCCATAACACATTGTTTGCTAGAATAAAATGTATGTGTTTCTCAACAACAAGATGCACAGTCACTCTGGCAAAGTACATATATCTAAATGTATGAAAACAGTGATTGAAAATACAGCAGACGGCAAATTGCTTTAATTTATAAAAGTGCCTCATAGTAACAAAGGATAACAGATCATAACAATAAAAATGACATTAGGAATTGTTGGCCAAGGAAAATGTAGCTCTGGGTTATTCAATAATTGACTCAAAGATAATTGTACTGTAATCGATTTTAAGCATGAATTTTTAAATACTTTACAACTCTAAATCCGAAACACAAGCCAGGATCAGGGTATGGTGCGGCTGTTGCCCAACATGGACGTAAACTATAAATGGCAGAGTTGTGTTTTTTCTGAATGATTTTTAAACATTTATTTTGCATATAGGATTATATCCTGGAAATGCCAGGTTTCTATTTTGAGTGTCTCTCCCGTTGGGGATTCTAGGAGTGAGACCATTAAAAGAAGATGCCTGGGTAGCACTCTAGAGAGAATCAGAATGTAAGCGTGGAGTCCTGTCAGTGCAATGCTGGGGAAGACAGAGGGGAAAAATCACTGGCTCCCAATTGTGCAAACTCTCATCTATTCTCCTACTCACAAGCAAGCAAATCTATTTAAAGATTAGTTTGTCCTACTTTATGGCAAAGATATGAGGAATAATATTGAACCAAATAATCATGAAGAAGATAAAAGAATATTTTTCCTTGCAAATGCGGTGTTGCTCATAAAATAATGAACTGTGTTCTACACCTCTCTTAGTGTTACAGATTTCATAAAGCAAAATTGAAATGGAAGTTATCCTTAATTTTTTCACATCAGCTACCAACAGCCAATTGCTGGCAGAAGTAGTAATAGACTGTCATTCATTATTTCTCCTAGTGATGGAAATTTTTTTTTCCCTTCAGTGGTACCTCCACATCTCGGAGCAAATAAAAACTGAACTTCATTTCAATAAAGCGTGGACATTTGTCCCATGGTTTGGTGAACACAGTGGTAACAAAGCAGGCCTTGCCTTTTTTGCTCCAGAGATATCAAGCACAACTAACTCTCTCTGCTGTGTCTATCTACCTAGCCTGTCTTTCAATTTCTAGGAAACCAGAATCTAAAACAAGGGCGTGGATAACTGTAATATACTGGGGAAGACAGTCTTGGAAGCAGGAGTGCAGAAATGCAGATTACTAGCTAGAGAATGTTCAAAGTCTATTGAACTTATCACTGCTGTGGGCAACTGATGCTTGCTCCCAGTGGAAATCCTCTTAGGACCCATGGACAATAAGCCTCCGAATTGTTCTTTCAGAGGACTGCGACCATCCACCAATTTTCATTGCATTGGCTGAAGATTGTCTTGAAAGCATTGCTTTTCCCACATAGTTGGACTTCCCTATATAGAACTAAGCAAATCCCTGTAGCCAACAGAAATGCATTGGGCACAGAGAAACAACGGTACCTCAACTGTAAGAGCATGTATATATATCATCCTTTTCCACAGAAATCAAAAGTAAGCCTTGACCAGGTTTACAATTCTATCCATTATAGGACATCCACCCAACCTCCACAAACTTCCCACTCACATTTAAAAGAGGTATTTTAAGAATAAATTAAATCTCTCTTAGCATACCCGTCTTAGTCTTATAATGCCATCCTGGGCCTGGGAATCAGAAGTGATTTCAAAGAGTGCTGTGCCATCTCCATCAATGATGTCATATGATGATTGTGCATTTTCACCAATATCCTGATCATTGGCCTTCACCCTTCCTATTGCAGTGCCAAGAACTACATCTTCTGGTACTGAGAAATGATACAGACCTTAGTGAAGAAGAAAGAAAAAGAAACACTGAGCAATGCACACATTTCATTCATTCATTCAACAAATATTTATTGAGCATCCCCTTTATTCTGGACACTCTGATAGATGTGGCTGATAATGTGAAGGAAAAGACAGAAATATCTTTTCCCCTGGTAGAATGTTGTCTTTCAAATGAGTCAGAGAAAAATAGTTCCCTGTAAGAACTAATGATGTCCTGTTAAGATATTCTGAGATAGGGAAGATATTAAACCACATTTTCCCCAGGTATATATTTGGAACAGAGTTATATCGGGATATTAGTGAGTATATGTGACTTCTCCCAACCAGCAACAATTTTGCTGCATAATCATATTGGCTGCCCTTGGGGATATTCCTTGATGCCCATAAAAATATTTACCTAATTTGAGTATGGAAAGATGGAATGCATAATACACTGAAAGTCACTTTTGAACTTACCTTTTTATTTACAATCTCGCAGACCATTTTTGATAAAATCCAATTACTAAACTTCTGCTGTGCCCTGCAGCAAGCTGCTCGTGCACAGGAAATACTCCTCTTGTTACTAAAGTCTCATTGCTCTGAAGACCAAACACCTACCTTCAAATCTCTTAAGGTAATCATTAAAACATAATTACAGTACATATCAATTTCCTATGAGGGTAGTAACACATGTCTAATTAGTGGCCTTAGTCCTATTCTTATTCAAATCGCTGTACTGATACATTAGGGAAAACTGTTGGTTCTTCAAGCATAACTCCTGGCCATTACCATGTCAGCACCCACCTGCCTTACATCCAATTATTATTGCCTACCTGTCTACGCCGGAAGGTTTTTCTGGCCTTCGGAATCCCTTTTATCTACTGTGTCAGACCAGAAACAATGCCCTCCAGAAAGCAGTCCTCAGACTCACACATCTTGATATCCAAGTCTCCATTCCTGCTTCCACTGATAGGATCATTTTGAGCTGTATTTCTTTACAATGTTCCAGGAATTTCTCCCAATGGGATAAAGATATTTTCACTTCCAGTGGTCTCTGGCTTGATGCTGCACATTTTATTGACTTCTTCTTTCCTTTCTTACTTCCTGACTGGCCCTCAGGTGGGACTATTTTCAAGATAGGGTGCTTGTATTCAAACTCTTGACTCAATTTCTGTTTCTAGGGAACCAGAATTCAGGTCACCAGGAAGTTTTAACCAAGGGACAAAGTAGACATTGAATGAGTGATACATATCCAAAAAGGTAAATAAAATCTAGAGAATATTACCTAATTCCAGTTTGCATCTCTTGGATAAACTAAGGCTTTTATTCAATCTAAGAAGATAAATTCAGATGATGGTGAAGTTTCTTCTACTCTAGCATGCGTTGGCTTAATGATGAAGTAAAGTTTAAAAGGAGTACATAAAAATATGTCCTAGAATCATGAGATTATGGGGTTGGGGAACAAAAATGTTTTCCAAGTAGTTTTGTCTGAAGGAAGGCATTGAAAATAATCGTGTGGAACACAAGGCTCACTTTCTCTAATAATTAGTCTAATGCTTCCATTTCCTTCAAAATGTGTATTCTAAGGAATGATAGAGATGATCCCTTCAGGTATAATTATAAGCAGAATAAGCCAGCAAGGGACCTCACCTGGCTGCTACCCCTGCATCCGAGAGCCTTAGGAGGCCAAGCAAATGGAACATCTCTGAATCCACTCCTATTCTGCTCCCTCTCATCATCTCTAGCAGTGTGATCATCGCTAATAGCTATTACCGCTCAGAAAGAACACTTTCGAAACTTATCTGCCATTGCTGAACTGAAACAATCATTTTCTAAGAAGGAAGAGTTGCATGTTAGAGCATTAGCTATAATGGCAACTGAAAAGGAAATAAAAGAGTGGAGAAAGGATAGGAGAAAATGTTCATTTCAGTAATTTGGCAAAAGAGTAACACATCATTGCCTGATTTATAAATGGCTAGATGTGAAAATCCTAAATATTCTTAATGAATGTTCATAGTTTTATTCCTTATACCTTTGAATTTCCACAGATATAATCTAAAAGTTACCGCAAGTAGGTCGTTTTCAAAAAACCATCTCTTTCTA